ATTAGATTAAAAAAAGGAATAAAAGTTTTGAAAAAAATGGTTTTATTATATTTATGTTTAATTATCTTTTGTATTATTATTATTTTCAGGTTTCAAATTCAGACATGCTTTAAGAAACAAAAACATTATTAATATATTAATTGCACAAAATTTCGATTTTAGTTAATGTAATGACTGTGCCTGATATACTGATGCATTTTTTAAATATTTGACATAAGTGTCATAAATTAATTATAACTCTCCTCGTTCAAAAATATTCAACCATGCTTCCTGTTTTCATTCCAGTTTTGCGTTCTTCATGCGTTTTTGGTTACAATTCATAGTGTTCTTGCTTTCTTATATAGTGATTTTTTTTCTTTCTGTTCATAGTGTTTTATGTTTCTTTCTGTTGCTTTCTTACATTGCTCTTATTTATTAAAAAAACTTAATATATTTAAAACAAAAGGCATTATTTATTTTTAAAACATATTAATAAATTTAGCATATTTCCCCCTTATCTTTATTTTGCATAATTTTATCCTTTATTATAGCTTTATATTAAACATCTATCTATTTTTTAATAATTTTTTTGTAGTCAGTGGGATCTTGATTATGTCAATGAATTGACGGAGTATATTTGGCTATCGACATCTTGATATGACCCCTTTTAAAATTTTACCGACCCCCCCAAGGAGTTGAAACCGACCCCACTGGGAACCCCTGTTTTAGATGTTGTAGGTTATCTGATTGGGTTCAAAAGATTATTCATTACCTTTCAGTAACTCTGACCATAAGGGATCAGCAATCAAATAATATCTGTTTAAGTCAGTTATGTTAAATATTTTGGCATAACAGTTGTGCTATTATTTATTTTTTTATTGTTACAGAAGAAAAGGAATTTATTATCCATTTCATTTGTAGTTCAAAGCAGATATGCCTAGTAAATAAGGCAACCTAACTTTAATTTAAGGACGTGTTTATTTTATTATTTAGAATCTGAAGAAACGTACTTGCTTCTTAAAAATTACTTTTGTAAAGGATCTAGATATAAATCGGGTTTATAAAGATGATTTTATCTCTAAATTTCATTTATCTCAGTTATGTAACCTGCCTTAACAGGTAATTGTTTTATGTTAATTCGTTTCCTATGTTCTTTGTCTCTTCAATACTTATCAAACTGCAGAGCAAGCGGTAAAGTTTAAAACTAAAATATAATCTAAAACGTATGTTTGCTGAAATTTGTTCTGGAATACTGGCGTCTTACTGCTGAAGAAGCTCGCAGATTAGTGCTCAGAGCTACCAAAAGCATGTCGGAGTCTGGTAGGAAGTTAGCCTTCCATTCCAACCCAAAAATGTTATAGATCTACACAGAATTTCCTGTGCACATCTGTCACTTTTAGTATCGGGAAATAGTTATTGTTTTTAAGTTGACGGGAAGTCACTTAGTTTGCTTCCATTTCAGTTGTATTACTCACACGTCGTGGCCAAAAAGCTTTCACTAAATTTTAACCATGAATTTTGTGGAGTAGTATTTTAGCAGTACCAGGGAATAATTTATCAGTCTTTTAAAATAACTTTTCTCTGTATATTAGGTAAGAGGACTCACCACAGAAATTGTATACTGCCCTACAAATATTTAGAAACATCGAGCGCTTGTGCATATTTTCTAACAACAACAACAACAACAAAAAAAGAGATAAAGCATAAAATCTGATAGAGCTGTCAACTTTTACCATATGTATCTCTAATAGAAGAACTGTTCGAAAAAATTCTAATAGTAATGCTGTTATGCTGCTTTTAAAATTTTCGTAATTTTGCTGTTGAATTGTATATGGCGTAAGTGCAAAAAAAAATGCTGCTTAGGAATGAGTGAAACAGCAGACTTGTAGAGCACGAACTCAGCGAAAGCGAAAAAAACCTTAAAATATCCTTTTGGGGAATCGTTAAAGTCTGAACTCTGAGTTTTTTTTAAATTACAAGGTCATCATTCTCCTTAAGAATTTTAGAATATGATCATCCTACGCTTAGGAAAGTGTGAATTCAGATACTCCAAACTTGGAAAATTCATTAGGAAGAAATAAAAGACACGGGGACCTAACGCGCTGTGCGTTCACTACATTATTGCATGTCTTCACACATCTTTGCCAATAACTTAGCCGATCTCTTTGGGCTGGACGATAATCTCTTATCACACCGATCTGATCCTGCACTAACTGAGTCCTTCTGTTCAGTTCAGTGGAGAATAATCTATAGGAACAATGATTTATTAACATGCGCGGAATGAAAGTAGCAGTACAAAAGTAAGTAAAATACTAAAAGAAAACTATGCATTTATTTTTTTTTTATTTATTGAATATAAGCCATTTATTTTATGTATTACCTAAATGTTTGATTTCGTTTTACTCTCTAATTAAATCTGTGGTATGAAGTTTTAAATTAATCTATCACCTGATTTTACGCTGCCACATTTTAATTATGTTTGAAATAATTACTAAAGATTTATAGATAGTAATATTTCATTCAAAATTTGATTTAAGCCCAAAAATTAGAAAAATTACTGTATTTATAATTTGAAAACAGAAAACATTCGAATCGGCTTATCACGTTCGTTTAGTAATAAAGTACCTTTTATGCGGTGGAGAAATTATGGGCTGTTACAAGTATACATGAGTATACTACCCAACAGAAGGAAATGTCTTCACTTAGAAGTATATTAATAGCAGAATTCTACTTAATTAATCTCAGTTTCAGTTTCATATGTATCTAAAGGTCACATGATTCACAGCACAAATATGTTAAAAGAAAATAAATTTTATGAGACAGAATTATTTACACCTTAAATAAATCATAACAATGGAGCAACAACCTGTGTTAAGCATCGATTTTTAGCTTAGAAACTCTATCGATTTCGTAAGCGAACAAAGTCCTTCTTCATCAGGAGCAAAGAAATGTGCAACTGAAAAACCAAGTTACGAACGTATTTATACCCTAATTAACTCTTTCATCTCTCTCGAATTTCCTATCTAAAATCGAGTTTCTATGCTAAAAATCTACGCCTAACACAGGTTGCTTCTTCACTTTTATAAATTTTATGGCTGGTAAAAAATGAAATTTATAAATACTCAGGCTTTTTGTATAGAAAATACTAAATAAATTTTAGTATATGTGGAAAATTTAATAATTGAGAAAAATATGGAACCTATGAAATACTATTGCTATACTTATATAAATAAAGCGAAAATTGTATGTAGTTGAGACCACATTTTATAAGACAATAAGAAAGACGGTAACTCTCAAATAAAATGCGATAGTCCTTTTTCTTTAAATATAAATGCAGAAGTAATTTCTTGAATTACTGTAGTTTAAATACATTTCCTTTAATACAGTGTTTAAATAACTAACATATATGAATAAATAATTAGCAGTCCCAATGATAACTTCAGAATTATTAATTGGTATTTAAATTTGAAATGGATTTGATTAAAAAGAGCTCCTTTTCTTGAAATGATTTATTGATAGACTTCATAAGACAGCAAATACATTTGACAAGGTTAAACATTATCCTTACTTGTTGCTTTTAAAACATTTTATACCAGTCATTCAAAGCTATACTTTTCATGTCTTTTACTATTCACAAAATTTCATTTGCATCACTGAAACAGGTTGGGATATTGTGAAAACGTTTTCTGTTTGATAAAGGGCTAATATTTTAAAAGTACTCTTTTGCTCATGATGGCACTTTCCATTTACGATCATTTTCGTAAACAAAACTCATTCTTCTTGTGCAGAATCTTCCACTGTACAGATAGTCATCTTTCTAGTCCATTAATTTAAAAATATTTGAAACATCCATTCACTTTGAAGAATTTCGCTTCTAGTAAAAGATTTCGACTAACATACATTAGATCAAAGCAAGATTATTTATTTTTATCGCTAAATTCTAACAGATTGTTGAAGTTCATGTGTCACACATTTTACTTTTGTACTCTAAGAACAAAGGTTTTAGACGCTTCATCACAAACTCCTAAATAACTCCATCCATTTTTCCAGTAAGGAGACTTCTAAGAGTAAGTAGTATAAGTGAAATTTCCTGTAATGCATAACATCCGTAAGTTAGATGCGGAATGAAGTGCCGAAGCAGTATTTTTGGACGTCGATTCTTTGATCAGCCAGAGTCGAATGCAAGTTATCTCACTTTATGAGCTTCAGGGTCTGAAACATATAAAAATATAAATTAGAATTAATAAAATATAGCAGACGGTTTAATAAAATATAGTAGACATATAGTGGAATATAGTATGCAAACGGAATGGATAAGAGCTATTACACTTACCGAGTTCATAGCGCTGGATCCCTTTCGCTAGTCCTCGAAGTGTCTAAAAAGATCTCGAAAAAATATGTGTTTTTACATCTTGAAGTGCAAAACTTTCATCTTACCTTTGTATTCAGTTTATAAGATTTAGTTAAAAGTAAGAAATTTAGATTGCAAAATTTAACAGAAATGTAACTTAAGTTCTAGTGCTGATTCTGCATTTCTACAAAATTATTTAGTGTTTTGCTTCAAAATGGTTTGTCCTTAAAAAACTACATACATATTTTTCCTAGCAATGACCCTCTATGCGCTAATGTGCGAAAGCATTTGTTTTTCTTCTGCATGTTTTTTGAACATCTATTCATACAGTACGAAATCTTATTAATAACTCTTTATGCTACTGACTAAATCATTAGTCCATTTAATGCATATAAAACCAAGCAGATAAGGAAAATAGAGTTTAAAATGAAAAGATATAAATTCCTGCATTCCTGCTCTTATCTGAAATATTTCATGTTTATTGGACATTTATACTTGAAATAATTTTCTTATAATAAACAGTTTACATTTAAGGTAGTTAAATATCTTTACAAATAGATGATATGAAATTTTTCTGAAATGTTACTCAGTGTTTCATAGAAAATGTCATAAAAGCAGGAATATGCGGTGGAAAGGAAACTACTATGATTAAAAAAAAAATTGTACTTACCGGGGCTATGCGGAAGACTCCCTTGCATAACTGCTGGAATAAAAATGCCGTAAGTCTCACAGTTAAAATTTAACTACACAAGTTTCAAATATAAATTTATAGTTGAAAATATACTGCTCACAAACCGATAAGAATATGCAAAATAATTAATGATAAACATCAATACAGAGATGTTTTGCCCCGTGCACAGTTGCTTCGTAACTGAGATGCGAAGTAACATGTAAACGGATGTGGCAGCTGCGAAGACACTTTATTATAGGAATATGGCTAAATTTTTTGTTCGCAACGAATTGTGAGGATACCCAATATGAAGGTGCCACTTTATAATTGACAAGCGTATGCAGGTGATTGCGTGTTTTCATACAAAATTTTACAGTTGAAGACTATATGTAATTCTGTTATATTCAAAATTGTTACCTAAAACTTGAAAGTGAGTTTAGAGAAACTTCTGCTATGGTATACACTTTAAGAAATAGTTAACTAAGGGCTATCAAATCCACACAAAATGAATGTTTGAGTATAAGTAGCAGTGAATTTCTGCCAAGTCAATTAGTTGCTACATACGAAAGCAAATGTAAGAAGACAAGAGTATGGAGTAGATTAGGCATGGGCATAGATTAGATCCCTATGCTTATTCTGTAACAGACTGCATAGACAGACTGACCGTTAAATGAGATAAGAGTTGTCATGAAGCAATTTATTTAGAAGAATGCAATGAAAGTTGAGATATATGTCATTAATATTTTATGACTCACAGGCCGAAGCGTATCACTCCAGGTAACCACAGAAGTGCCATTATTGGACAGGGATATTATTCCGGAGGCTTGATGCATATAAATATGAAATATTTCAACTCTTGACGACATTCTTGGAGCTAACTTCCAATGGGCTCGTTAAAAATATGTTAGGGGTGAAGTTAGAATTACGGTAAAGCATGCATATAAGTTCGAAGAGTGTATGTGTTTACGTTAATAGGAAAAACAATGTTAATGCTATTCAGCCAAACTGTTTCACCGTTGAGAATCGGAGTCGGAGCGAACTATCAGTTACCTTAGATTTTAATCAACTGGTCTTGCCGCTCCAGAAGATATAATGGATAGGGAGCTTACTGCGATAGCGAAGGGCACGAGTTCGAATCTCGGAAAAGACATGGCTATAAACGTCTGTCCCTTCATAAGAGGCAATTATGGCCCACCTATTAGGTGATTGCACAATAAAGTGGCCACTCCTTTCGGCCTTAAGAGTGGTCAAGCCTAAGTCAGCTAACGGCCCGCCAATGAAAAAAAAAATCAACTGGTGCTCGGTGGAAAATAAAATCCCACTAGGAGTTCACATTTTTAGTCTCCATTCCAATCAATCTACCTTAACTTCTGCTACGTTGCTGGTCAAGTCTTCCGTAATCGCGACTGGATAAATTAATTCAAAGCATAGCAAGGTATGTTAAAAAAAAGTGTTTGCACAATGTACCAAATAAGGACCAGCATCCAGTCCGTTTTTTATTTGAAACCCTTGTTATATTTACCCGACAGTTCTTATATGCTCCTTTATTATGCTTTCCTTTACCTTTCAGGTAGGTAAAAATATGATATATTTTACTAATTATCTTATTACCCATGTGCAAGAATTAAACTTAACAGAAATATTAGGAACGTTTTGTGGGCAGTTTATTTTAAACAATACACTCATTTTATACATACATATAAGATTGTGATGAAAAGTAAAAAAATAATGCAAATAAGATGAAATAAGATAACAAAATTGAAAGTACGTATAAAAGTTAGGGGCTTAAAACGTTTTATTGCCCAGACTTTAGATATTTATTTAAAAAAAAATGCAAATTTGAAAGCAAAATCTGTTTTATAAATAAATACCTTACATTAATAATTCACATGATTAAATGCATATAAAATAAAATCTTAATTTCAATTAGTAATAGTCGTTTAATTCGGTAATTTTCCCATTCGGTCCTAAAAATTGAGCTTACAATAAATCTTTCTGAAGTGCATGATTTCAGATTTAATATATGTCATATGATTTTATATAACGTAACTGATACATGTACTTACTTAACAGCAAATAAGAAAGTACATTTTTCCTTAAATCATCATTAAATCGAAACTTAACCAAACCAATAGTAATAAAATGATATATCAATTACTAACTTAAACATTCTTAATATAAATAATAAATTTAAATAAGAACATATGAAATGTAATATAAAGTGAGGTATGGAAAAGTTGATATTATAACACTTTAGAGAAACATAGAAAAACATTAATGAAGTGTGTGGTCATCCGTGAAAAAAATGCCAGCCTTACAGCGACTTTTCATGCTGCGTACGAGTATTATACCGTAAAAGAGTTCCTGCAGTAACAAAGTAAAACTGAGAATAAATAGAGCCTTCAGGAGAGTGCTAGGTGCGGTCAGAAGCGATGCAAATCGGCATCCTCGTGCACCTCAAACATAGTCTATTGCATTAAGTACAGAAAATATGCAGTATGATTGTGTGAGCTGAGTCACAGGAGGCGGTACGCTGTGCGAGCCCACAAACAGATTGCCGATGAGACCGCTAGCTGATAAGGCCAAGGACAGAGTAAGAGAGACTTTACGTCACAGTTTGATAAGAGATTTTCAGATAAGAGAGACTTTACGTCACAGTTTAATAAGAGATTTTCAGATAAGAGATATTTTACTGATTTTTTAGAAGTAATTTCTATAATTATACCAATCAATTTTTACCTGTTGAAACTTCTATTTTTCTTCGTATTCCAAGAATGTTATCCTGTAATTCATAATCACAGATATCATTAACAATTTTCGGCCGTATTTTATGTTATTCATTGCTTACTCGCACGGCCTTTACTGAGTTTTAGATCTAAATTTTCAATTTCCACCATGTATTTAAGCTTTTTAGCTTCCTATGAACCGTTAATTTTAACTTATGTATTATATTTTCTGTTCATAACAACATATTTTAGTTTCCGTAATCTGACATAATATTACTAATTTTTATTGTCTACTTCATTTTACACAAATTTGTTTTCATATCTATTTGGTAATTTTCAACATACTCTTAATTTTAACTTATTTCTTATATTTTTTATCATATGCATGACTTTGTTTAATATTAGATGTAATTTTTAACTACTTTCTCATTTTTTAATGTTTTTTAATTTTGATCATATTCTAAATTTTAATTAATTCACTCTATTTTCTGATCATATACACGTCTCTTATGTAACCCGAGATGTAATTTACAACACCTTTTATATAATTAGAAACTTTGACATTTTCTTAAAATTTGTAACTCTTTTTTTTATAATTTTCGATCGTAACAACGATTTAATTTTAGTTTTAATTATTTCAAGATTTTACTTAATATTACACGCTTCTTTCACATTTGTATATTTCTTAAACATACTGAGATTTTTAAATTAAGCATTTAGTTTTATGGCTGTTAATTGTTACTTATTTAAATCCTTACATTTTACAGTTCAATTTAATCTACATATTATGTACTTCTCATTCGATAATAGTCTTCTTATTCGTTTTCAAATATTTTACTTCATTCATTCGTATTTTTAAACTTAGTAATTCCATTTTCCTGCCAGAATGTAAATTTCTAGCTCGCGTGATATTCAAATAAAGTAGAAAGAAGAGCATATTTAAAATAAGGTTTTCGAGGGTAGAATCAGAGCGTGTTCTGCCTGCTGATGGCCACCATGCTAATTTCGATTCTCTTGAGAGTAATATACTGCGGCGTTGCGTTATTCTTGCCATTAAGATTGTCATGCCCAGCTAGCTCAAAACCAACTTGCGCGTTACATGAATTGTGTAGCCGTTACGCTAATTTAATTTTACTCAATTAAATTAGTTCAATATCTTTGACTTAAGCCATAACCGCTGGCCATATTTGTAAGCACAAGTGGTATCGTTTAATAACTTTTATTAGAAATGAATAAAATGTCCTTTACAGTCTTTCTCAGTCTCTGGGGTACCTTACAAGACATACTGATAATTCACTTCTTGTATTTAAATGTTTCGTACATTTTATGCTGCTAAAGAATACGAAGTGTTATAAACTGGCCATCTACATAATTTTATTTGATATTATGCACAAGGGTTTTCCATAATCTAAACGGTATATAGCTTAATATTACTTATATTTGAATGCGTGAATTTATTTCTCATATATTTTTTAGAACTTCGATGTTTGCTGGTACCATTCGAACCCCATTTGCCTTTAATAACGAGTTTGAATAGTTCTATTGTTTTAGAATGAAGTCTCAACTTTAAGTCGTAATTTTAGAATCATATTACTCTTCCATTCACTCATAATGAAACTGTTCTTCCTATTTATTGCATTAATACCTCTTAATTTAATATTTTTTGTTAATATATTGCTCTTTCATTTGTTAAAAATAATACTAATTTATTAAAATTATGTAGATGATAAATTATGGTCGGAAAATGTAAGTAAAATTAACATGAAAACTAATCAATCGGATAACATAATAATTAACAGGATAATAAATTAATTAGTCGAAAAAACTGATTAACATAATTTTAGGAATTACGCCTGGAAAATCAATAAAATATAATCGCTTATCAAATTGTGAAGTCAAGTTTCTCTTGATTCTGTCCTTCCTCTTTATTCAGCTTGCGGATTTAGTCCGCAAGCTTACACCGCGCACCACCTTCTGTCGTAGAACTTTTCCTTTCATTCTACTCAGACTACTTCATTCGCTGGATTTCTTCGTCCAAAAGATGATAGTGATGGCGATGAGCCTTATCGTCCATTAGGAGCAAGAATTACCGACTGCATCCCTAAACAACTTGATATAAGGATCAATCTCATGTCCATAAAGTTTGTAAGGATCCTAAGTTTTACTAACGTTTATTTTATTTTAAATCTTTACTATCACTTCTTAATTTCTACTTCCGGACAGAATTAAAAGCTTTAACTTATTTATGCAAATTTGTCTTGCTAAAGCCAAGTACTTAAGTTGTGTTTTTTTTGCCAAGCAAGATAG